ATGTAAACAATGACTTTTTATAACGTTAACGGCAATGTTTATCTTTTCTTAAGTTCCCTTTTCAATTTTTAGATTGCATTGTATTAATATCACATAAATATATTTAGTTCTCTTAATACACATGTATACTTCCTGTTGTACGCTGCTCTGCGAAATAGTATCGTATCAGTCTGAACTGTACACATTTCGTTATATGTAAGGAGGCTCGACGCTCGACGCCTTTCATATTCAGCCGCACTTAAGCATTTGTATTATAGTCTGTAAATAAATAGTTTGTTACTCTCTTACATAGTTAAAGGTTTGTGTCCTCTTTTGTTACCGCTGTTTCGTATACTTTCGGCTGCACAAAGAGCAGTTTTTCACTGACCATATCTGAAATCACTGTCCCGAGCTGTTAAAGCTCAGCCACGCAAACCGCAATACATTCTACTATTCGCTCCGAGCCGATGCAGAGGTTGCGCCCCCTCTAGCCAAAATCAGGCAAAATTTCTTGCATGTAAACAAACGGTTTAGAACATATATACATACGTACAGCTGCTTGTGATTGGCACTTGGCAAGCTAGAGAGAGAACGACGATTCTCTCCTGCTGTCTTATTCAGCCAATCACAAGCAGCTATACGCATGTATATATGTTCTAAACCGTTTGTTTACATGCAAGAAATTTTGCCTAATTTTGGCTAGAGGGGGCGCAACCTCTGTATCGGCTCGGAGCGAATAGTCAATGTCAAACAACTACAAACAAAAAGGCAAGAGATACAGCAATTAGGCACTAAATGACATCATACTTGCGTTAAAACCACCATAACTGTACGTACATTACAACATCGGACACTTTATACTTTAATCTTCTAAAACTGAAGATATTTTGCTTACTTTAGACAAGGAATAATACAGATTAAAAAGGTGTTCTTTCCTCACACTTATGTGTATTACCTCGAGTTAGACTGTAGTTGTATACTTTAGCTGGCGTAGATGACGCATTCCAACGGGACGTGTCTGAGTAATTCACTTTTTTAAAGTTGCAAAGAGTGCACCTTTCTGCAGGTTTGACTCCGTAAGATATTAGTCAACTGGAAAGTCTCTGATTGGCTATGCATCTAATGAGCTGTTATATTAATAAGGAACAATTTCACTTCCAGACTGTATGGATACTTTAAGTTGTTTTGCAGAGGGCTAAACGTGAATGGTTTGTACCTTGTGTGCATCATTAACAAAGCAGAGCTTTTTAATAGCTCCTTCCAATACTTGAACTAAGATCTTGATTGTTTCGGGAAGTTAAAGTTACTGGCCAGGACCACGTTGCCATTCTCGCCACACACGAACAGCGCCCTCGAGTTCGCCCTCTAAAGACGCCAATCAAAATGTTAAGGGATATGTAACAACTGACATACATGAATACACATCTACGCTTAATCCACACGAACCCATCTCCACTTTCGGTGTCGGTCACAGAGAACCTGTCGCTATAGTTGGGATGCATGGATGGCCGCGCATTGAGTTCTGTCGCAGTACCAGACCTGACCTGGTAACATGCAGGAAGGTTCATTTATAAAGAGCACGTCCACACCTTGGGCACGGAAAAACTGGTCCAGAAAATCATGCGCAAGTACGGTTTACAAACAAGGTTTACGTGCATAATCACCACCATTTCCGCTGAGCTGCCCCTGTAGACGCCTGAGGCGTTTGATTTCCGGCAGTTCCACCGACGTTTCTGGTGTCTAGCTTCGGGACCACACCCTCGCACAGGTAAAAGCTAAATTTTTTTGGGCAGTTTCGTGCCACGGGCCCTCTTTACCACATTTCTAAGCCACCCCGTTCCTGTCAGGTCCGTGACACTGACTTGCAATGTGGCCAAAGCCCAGGCACCTGAAGCAGCGCTCAGCTCTGGACTTTAGCCGAATCCTGCAGTTTACCCAGCCCATCCTTACGTGGTCCCTCTTGTCAAGAATTAAAGCAGCCATCACAGGTGCCTCGACGTGAGCTCTACGATTTCCCCTGATGATGCCGGAGGAAGCCGTAAAACCATGTTGAAGGGACCCCCTTCTCCGAAACAGCCAGTCAGTGTGACTTCGACATCTTGCTTCGTTACCGTAGGATCGACGTCTCTTATATCTTAGGTCAGGTTCGAAGCGAGAGTCCTAACGCCGCCAGCGTCCGCCATGGCATTTTTTAGTACCTCCGCGAACGCGTTGTGACGCTCAGGCTTAATTTTTTTTAGTTTGAGTTGAACACCTACGTTTCTCGTATCCCTGATAAACCCCACACCCGCCCCGACCCTGACTGCATCGACCCTTTTCATCAGGGCCAGCACCTTGGCATACTTTTTGCCCTTGGTCTGACCAAGTTTGCCTCAGGCCTCTCCCTCCGATGTGACTTCCCGGCAACATTAGCTGGTCATCCTGTGCCTTCGAAAGGTTCGTTTTTTCCTGTCTTTTTTTTCTTCTCTTTTTTCTGGACGTTCGTCCACCCTTTACTTTCGACTTGAATGTCAGCCGCAGCACCTTCTGCACGTGGCTGAGAAGCAGGTCCTCTCGTCTTCTTCTCGCATTCTTGTCTTCTCTGGCGTCGTCTTTGGACTCGAGGTCTCTTCCTCTGTCCCCGTTCTCTCTTAACCTTTTATCCCACACCTGGTGACGTTGCGTAAGGAGGGAGTTCATTTGTCTCATGGAGCTTTTCCCAAAAACGCTGGAGGTCGCCTATAGCCGCCAACCCGACGTTGTCCTTTATGGGTGTGATTCGTCACAAGCGCTCCTAGTTGCTACACCGCCTCGATGAAAGTGTCGATATACGTTAAAGTGTAGATGTACGGTTTTCCTGTGTCATGACCACGAGCCAGGACAAGACAATAACCACCTTACAAACTATGGTCGTGCGAAAGAGTACTAGCTGATATGAACTATAAGTGCTCTTCTCATTGCTCTTTAATGACCATATTTCTTAATTGAAAGAATTGCCACATCTTTATATATATAATAGGTATACAATAGGTTTGTATGTTTCTACACTACGACTGAACCGACGCGCTTAATCAAGCTGAGGTATATATACCTATAGGTATGGAGAAAAGAGAAACAGAAAAACAACAGCTGTACCTGTACCATAGGCAAAGTATATGTACGTATATTGTGTATGTGTGTGTGTGTGTGTGTGTGTGTGTGTGTGTGTGTGTGTGTGTGTGTGTGTGTGTGTTACACGTCCTCGTCCTCGCTTTGCTGTTGTGTACTGATTGTATACATAATAGTGTAATAGTGCTTGATCTCTTTAAACTCTTCAAAAAAACATAGTAAAAATTGTTCTCCTTTCCTATTTATATTTTCAAATGTAATCATGTATGTAAAAAACGTGCACAAATCATTGAGCATGTTTAATGCGACAACCTAACCTTTAAAAACAAAAAAAAACGCTGTATCTCAAAAGGGAAAAAAATTTGATAAAATTTATCGATTTTTCGAGTGTCCTAAAAAGCAACTACATGATCAAGGTAAACAAACAAAGAGAGGTTAGACTGTGCAGAAACATAACCTCAGTTATTTCCGTTTTTGACTGTATCTTGAAAAGAGCATGAAAAAAAATGTTTTCTATGTCGTATTTTAAAAATTAATATGGACATGAAGAAGATCTTCTAAAAATTTTTGGCACATTACAACCTCTCGAAATTTAAAAAATAGTCATATCTCGAAAAAAGAGCTAGATAGACCCAAGGTTATTTTTTTTACGGATTTTCTAAAGGCAAACTACATGATCCACGCGCGGAAATAGAAGGAAGTTGTACTATGCACAAACATAACCTCAATTTTCTCGTTTTTTGACTGTTTTGAAAAAAATTTTTAATTCAGTATAGCATGTTGTAAACATTATTACAAATGTTGACAAAATCTTCAAAGAATTTTTGTTACAGCATAACCTCTCAAAATTAGAAAAACAGTCGTATCGTGAAAGGGAAGCCAGAAGGCCAAAAATAATTTCACACATAGAAAACAATTATTCATGTGCAAATATATATATTACATGGATTCATACAAACAATCGTCATAATTCTAAAAACAATGTAATCTTGAAGGCAAAGCTACATTTACATATTATAGCTATAAATTGATGAATCGTCTATTCTCTATCATGTATCATAAAAATAATTGTCTCGTAACTAAAACCTATATTCTTATTAATATTTCAATATTAGTAGAAATTAGTTATAAGCACGGGTAATATTCAATATTAATTTCTAAATAATCATTGAAAACGAACTGAATGACAAGTTACAACTTAACAATGAAAAATAGCTATATAACTAATTTTTCCCTAATCTCAATCGGATAGATGTTTTAGATAGGGAAACTAAAAAATTTATGAAATGAAAAATGTATACAATAAGGTGGTAGACATGGAGTGGCAACTATGTGGCATGAAAGTTACAATGTCCAAGTACAACAAAAAATATAAATATATGATTTTTCTAAGGAAATGAAATATTTAAGGTTACATATAAAAAGTTTTCATACAAGCAAGAGCGAGTTGTGAAAGTTCTGAAGTATCAAATGAATCCTTAAAAGTATATATAATAAAGTGGGACTCATAAAAAGAACACTATATCCTACGAAAGCATGCTGTCTACAGTACAGTTGCTATTTGTCAGATTTGTGTTGTTTTTTTAAGTTTCATCTCTTACTACAGTATAGTTTTCTTAGACCTTCTCTTCTAATAAATTTTACATGTACTATGATACAAAATATTTTTTTTAAGACAAGTTGATCAAGATGCAAAATAATTTTTTGACATTTATGTGCGAAATACATTATAGAAACGGTTCAATTTATTATAAATATAAGGTAGCATTAACAGACAAAGTATTACAATTTTATTTTTTATAATAATTTAATGGATTCGTACTAATTTTTAAGCAATGTTTATGTTGATCAAACAATTCGTTTCCTTTTTGTCCCTATTGCTGTATAAACGATTCGATATATAACAACAATGGTTAATGTAAGCTTTTGTTTAGGTTTTGGTGCTTCTACCTCAACAAATAACATTTCTGGAACGGTTGTCAAGTTTAATCCTGTCACTGGTTCTGATTCTATGGTGAAAAACGGAGTAACACAACCCATTTCAACACGTCATCACTGTATAACGTGCATGAAAGAATATGAATCAAAATCCCTTGAAGAATTACGTTTAGAAGATTATTCTGCTGGTCGAAAAGGTATTATTCAAGGTAATTTTTTCCGTAAATTTTATCGGCATTCCTGTGAAAATAAATTTTTGAACTCTTTTATAGTACCTTCTGTAAAATATTTATAACGCGGTTTATTTGAACACAAAACATTAAAATAAGTTGTCTCAAATCTATTTCTTTCAAATTGCATGCTTTTATTGCTATGATTATCGTATTATCGCCTCATTGTTGTAAAAAAAGGTTACCGTTTTTAGAAATTGAATAAAACTAGTTATTTTAAACGGGCTGTGCACAATATGACTCATTGTAACTACATGACAAATGAACAACACATTTAGCTCGTTTTTTAATTTTTTTTTAAACACATAGGTAATCAGTCTAAATCTCACTCTTGCAACATTTATGTTGCCACTAATCACACAATTTCTTTTTTCGAGACAACTTATAGTTTGAAAGCCATATCATCGTATAATTATTAAGGTAATAATTTAAAAGTATCTTTCCTATCTTGTGCTTTTAAAAGGTTCGAGTGTGTCCTTCGTAAGAAAAATAGTGTTTGCTTCGTAAGCGCGATCGGACGAGGACTATCTTTCGTCCGAAAATAGCCCTGATAGCGATGGCACTTATCTGACAAAAACTTTTATTTCCTACTTTAGCCGTTTTTGAGGGTCTGGTGCGCCCTTGATAGGAAAAATAGTATTTGGCATGCAAGTACCATTTATCCAGAGCTACCTTACGGTCTTATAGGTCTCAAAATAGCCCTAGAGGCAATGGTACTTTTGTGACAAAGACTACCATTTCCTAATAAATATTTATGCGACACAGTATAATTAGTTTCAACTGCATTCAAAAATTACTTGTTATTTTATTTCTCTCGACGTTTGATTAAATTGGAATTTTTGTCTAAATATTCTTATTAATACATACATGAATCAAGTAGAGATGCTATTGATTAAATCCATGCAGTAAATTTTTTTTTAGTAATTTTTTTTGCAATTTAACGCAATTAATCTCAAGAAAATCCTGCCAAACAAAATCCTCAACCTGTTCAACCAATCACCTAATCAACAAATAATCTTTAGTCATGTGACAATTAATCGTTGAAAAAAAGGATTCAACAGAAACCTGTGTCCAAAAGAAGCCATTCTCGTTTGACGAGTCTTTGTTAAGTACCATCAGAAAGTAAATATCAGAGAAAGAGTGAGAGCATTGAGACTGAATGAGTTAGGTACCTGAGCTGTCAGGATGTAGAGACCAATTTTATCAGTAGCTAATTAGAGGATACAACCTAAAACATTATCATGCGGCTGCGATTGCTGTTTGTGTAAAAGTATAAATATGTAAACTCGACGAGACTTGTAAAATAAGTATTTTGTGGGAAAAAATTAAATTTAGTAAACTGTTTGCTGTCACAGTAATTATCATATAAAAAACACCACGTGGATATCTTCGGAAAAGTGGTGAATTGGGATCTTGAGCGCTAGTCAACGTCATTTACTGTTGACAGCTCTGCTTAATTTTAGGAACACGCTTATCTTGACCATAACAGAGAAATTTGTCTTGAAGCTAAGATCACAGTCAAGGCCTGGAGGAATCTAGTTTTAATTACTTTGAAATACATATGTTTCATTCTCATTATCCAAACGATTTTCTGGACCATTGTTGTCGGTAAAGCTATAGTGTAGGATTAACGAGGCTCAATTAATTACATAAAGTATTCCGATAAAAATAATTATTCTTACTCTTAAAAATTTGAGTATGCAAATCAAAAGTAAGCAGTAGCGTGTTTTTTGAGGTTTAATCGGTTTCTTAAGGTTTCTTAAACTTGCCTTGCAGCGTTTCTGCACTACTGCATCTTTTTTAAAGAACTCCGCTTACACAATACTTTGTCGCAATTATGTGGGACTTAAGAATTTTAAAAAATGATATTGAGACAAACTACAAGCATAAGATACAAAAAATACTGAATAATAAATCTCAAAACACCATAGAAAACTAATACCAACATCTTAAATTGAACAAAAACAAAAAAAATTTTAATACGTACAAAAGTTGGTAAGTGCCATCGTAGGTCAGAATAATCACACGTAAATAAATTCTTTGTAAAACAATAGTTAATAGTACACACAACAAAAGAAATCGATTGAATCTACAAAGATAGTTTATTGAAAATTATTTTATGGTCAAATAGTTATTAATTTAAAATTTCAGTCATTTAGTGCTTCCAAATATTCAAGCGTTAAAAGTTAATAAAATGAATATTTTTGTACAAAAACGTTGCGTAAATCCAATTTTTGATGAGTTTTGTAAGTTGTTTCTAAAGAGCAAGGTAAGTCGATAGTGCTCAAAAACTTTATTTAGATGCATATCTCTTGAAACATTATATAAGTATAAATACGTAGGTGCACAAAATTCATTTAGAAATAATGACAGACATTGATTTATCCAAAACTTAGCCATGTTTGCAATATTTATAATTTGATTGCCTTTGATAGGCATACACACTTCGCTTTCATCCATGAGACGCTATTACTTGCACGACTATTTTGATAAGCATTTACAACTTCTTAGGATTTTTTAAAACAAATGGTTTTTTTTATTTCCAATCAACTTTTTTCTGAGTGACTTCTGTCTGACGGCATTGTGAATTACTATCAGACACTGCGTATACATCGTTCGTGCGTTACGCTATCAGTAATGGTAAGAAACAGTTAATTAGTCAAACAGCAGGAAAAGGCAGAAAAATGATATTAATTTATGTTTGCGACAATCCCACTTTTACTCAATTATTTTATCACCATGTGTGCTTGATAATTCAATCTTTAAGTCAGTAAAATTTTTTTTTACTGTGTACTACATAAATAGAACAGTTTTTTGAAACGATTGGTGGAGAGCAAGGGTATTTTTTTCTGTTGTTTGTATTACTTACAATTTACTATCTGAATTTGGCATGTATAACTTTCTCTTGAACTATGTAACCCAACCTTTGTCTTCACTTATCCCACAAAAACTGTTCATCCTTCTTAAAAGCTAAATAACCAATTAAAACGTGTTTCTAACATTTCTGGAGGGCCTCAGCAATAACAAGATACTAGCTATACAGGTATGCAGGGTAACTGATACGTGTCACATAATTTTCTGTAACTTTTTTAAGTTGTACTTCTATAGGCGTGTTATGTGTGAGAGTAAATCAACGATTTCAGATTAGTGATCTTAAGAAAAAGTGTAACGAAAGTATATTTTCCATGATACTCCCGCCCCGCGCTGGCTCTCGCCACACCACACCACCATAGCACACAGCACACATAAGTTTACTGAATTTTATTTCTTTTACCAATTCTGAAAAAAAAAAAAATACTTTTGAAGAGATTTAAACGTGCGATCTCTTGCACACAAGCCAAGGCCCTTAATCACTCTGCTATGAGTGGTCCCGATAATAAAAATTCAACTACTTCTAATTATGGTATGGTTCATAACTTATTTTGAATGTCAATTTTCATTCATCATCTGTCAATAAATTTGGTTTTATTATGAATCGCATTATTAAATAAATTATTCATTTAATTTTTTTTTGTTTTATAATTTTTTCAACTTAAAAATAGTATAATTAGTTTCAACTGCATTCAAAAATTACTTGTTATTTTATTTCTCTCGACGTTTGATTAAATTGGAATTTTTGTCTAAATATGTGTGTGTGTGTGTGTGTGTGTGTGTGTGTGTGTGTGTGTGTTACACGTCCTCGTCCTCGCTTTGCTGTTGTGTACTGATTGTATACATAATAGTGTAATAGTGCTTGATCTCTTTAAACTCTTCAAAAAAACATAGTAAAAATTGTTCNTTTTCAAAACTTTGAGTTTTCTATAAATACATAAATTAATTTTTATTGTGTTTCATTCTTTCACGATTTTTCCATTCGTGATAAAGATGATTCTTTGACTTAAGGACGTTCATTGCAGTTAGCGAGGAAAAAGTGAAGAGAGGTGAAAGGAGTGAAAATATATGTAGTAATACTGTCAATTATGTTTCCCACTGTCAATTATGGATGTACTTACATACACGCTTTTGCGCATACTTGATCCCCTTTTTCCTTGTATTATTAAAAAAAAACAACTTGTAGATTGATTTAAACATTGATAGAATTATCTTAAATTAATCTTTCATGCCAAAAAATGCTACTTCTACATGATTCTTTCATAATACTACTGTATGTAAAATTGAGATCCTTCAGAAATGAAAGAAAACATGAAAAAAAAAAAAAAAATACAGTTAAACAAGAAATATCCACTGTCAACAAACAATGAACAACGTACTGTACACTGGTTTATAATAGAAAAAAAATCAATAACAATCTGTTAAAGTGTTAAAAGTTTTCTGTAATTATAATTGCTTTAGAAATTTTTGAAAGAAAATGGCTATCTTTGCTTACTTGGTTCGAAGATACGCATCTTGTCTATGTTAATTCGTAGAAAAATTTAAACTGTAGTTTGCTGTTGGTAGTATTCCAAGGTATAATCAACTAGTAGAAATAACGGAAAAACTGAAAAATCAGTAGTAGTTTTGAATGACTATTTTGTATCAAATTTTTATGGTCGTACAAGTTGAGGAGAAGAGATTCTGCTTTCAAAAGTGGCCCTATGATAATATTAAGATAGTCATGATTGTAAACATAATAAAGCTTTATTTCGGAAAACTTGAATTTTTCAGTTTTTAAAATTTTTTACTATCTTCAAACAAAAGCGTAACTTTTGTCGATTTATCACAAACAATTTATTATTTTAATATTTTAAACTTAAATAATTTTACTTAATAACTTGATGAATGGGCCCGTGAATTGCTTCTTATTTTTCTCAGTGCTGTGTAAAATTACTACAATAGCTAAATAACAGTTACATATTGGAATTTTACTTTTTACTCGTTAATACATTACTTAGCTATATCTTAAACTTTGTTATCTGCTCTTTGCTCGTTCTACAATCAAAATCAATGTTCTACAGACCTTGCTTTATTTATACATTATTACATGTTTTAAACTTATTATTGATTATGTAAATACTCTAGAACTCTCGCACAAAATGACAAATGTATATATTGCCCTGCACAACATAGACTAATCAGCTCAGGGTGGCTGGATATAACTCTTCTTTACCAGCGCGTAAGTCTTTAGTCATGTAAACAATGGATTGTACATAGTTCCATTCAGTTGGCATGTATTTACACTTGTATCTTCTTATCTGATCCTCGCTCTAACGTAGATCGTATCTAGCTCGCATTAAAGACTCCAAAAAAAACAACATTTTTATTGCCGTGAAAAAAGAGCTATAAAAAATAAAGAAAACTCTATATTTTTTTGGTTTTTCCGGAATCTGCGCTTTCAATTCATCGAGCACCTACTGTACAGTTTTTTGGAGACCTAAAACTTTTTTACTCAGTTTTTTTTTTTAGATTTTATGTTCACCTTTATTTTACAAAATAAAACACCAGTTCAATGACTTCTGCGAATTTTGGAGGTCAGCCATAAATGGAAATTGGGAAAAAAAAAAAAAAAAAGGTTTGTGTTCTGTATTACAATTTTCTATGTTAACATATTTTTTGTTTTTAGAAAACAACTTCGTCAAATTTCTTATTGGCTCTAGCAGCTTGACTCGACTTTTTAAAATGCTTGAGGTTTTCTCAAATATAAATAAAGAAGTCGTAAGCGGAAACCTAAAAGATAGGCTTTTGTTGCACCTATATTGCGGCTTATGCACTCGACTAAAAAAATTTGTTCAAGATAGTCATGTCAGTAATTATTTTTAATTATATCATATTTTTCTTAATCTGAAAAACGTGTGCGCTGTGTTTTCATTATTTTTAGCAAGTATTATCCTTAAGTTATTCAGTCATCAGACATTGTCACTTATTACAAAATACTGTAAATGTCTGTACATTAAATTCTTGCAATTGTAGAAGTAGCAAAAAAAAACCATGTTTGAATTAAGTTTGAAATAGACATATGGTATTCCTATTAGTTTTTAATAATACTGTTAGTAAATCACACAATCGGCTTTAGATTTAGAAGAACTTGTCATAACTTCCATAGATAAAAAAGGACTTGATCTTCAAAAATGTCGAGGTCAAGCATATAACGGTGCATCAATAATTATGAGCGGTGCCATACAGGTCTGCAACGTAGAGTTAAAAATTTAGTTCCTCATGCAGATTTTGCTTAATGCGCTAGTCATAATTTGAATCTTGTTTTGAAAGATGCTGTGTCTTGCAATAGGAAGGTCAAAGAATTCTTTGAAACTATCCATGCTGTGTATGAGTTTTTCGGTCATTGTATTAGTCGATGGGAAAAGCTGCAGTGTTCACGAAAAATGCGCACCAACTTTAAAAACCTTGAATCCGACTCACTTTTCTGGAAGGCATGAGGTAGTTCATGCTTTAAGAAAAAGATTTTGTGATGTTCTCAAATTTTTAAGCCAGATAATTTTGAAAACCAAAAAATCCAAGGCAAGAGATACCGCGTTAGGAATTAAAAAAAATCAAAAATTTTGATTTTATATTTCTTTTTGTTTTTCAAGAAGAAATATCACGAATCACTAATTTATCTGCCGTGCAATCGCAGTCACAAAAAACGGATCTTTTTATGGTTCATGATCAGTTAGAAAATGCATTGCTGAGTATGAGAAAGTTGAGAAATGGGTTTGATTAAATTCTTAAAGATGTTTTGGATGTATGCGATAAGTGGAACATAGAGAGGAAGTTTTTGGACAAAAGATCACGTACGATCAAGATTCTCTTTGATGATCTGTCCCAAGATAAAAAATTCAATGATGCTGAGCAGCGGTCCCGAGTGACTATTTTTCATCCAATGATTGATACCATAATATCGCAACTTGAAAATAGGTTTGTTGGAATGAAAGATATTTTGGATGATTATCGAGTCTTGCAACCACAGTTCCTGGCAAATTCATCTATAAGCGACTTAGAGCAAAAAGCTGACAAGTTCTTCAAAAAAATTTTAAATGACAGGATATCTTCAGTTACCTCCCAATTGCTGTCTATTAGATCTACATTTCAAAAAGAAATCATTCACACGAATGATGTGAAAGAGTTAGCTTATCATTTTATTATTCAACATGCTTCATTTTCTTCGAGCTATGCAGATGTTTGCACGGCTCTTCTCATGTTTCTAACAATTTCCGTTGCCATGGCAAAAGCTGAGCAAACTTTTTCGAAATTGAAACTGATTAAAAACTACTTACGAAGCACGATGGTACAAAAAAGACTGAACAACTTGTCACTATTATCACTTGAAAATCAGAAAGCACGCAAAATTGATTTCGACAAAGTAGTAGAATAATTCGCTTCAGTGAAATCAAGAAAAAAGATTTTCTAGTATTAAATGTTTTGTGACTTTGATACTAAAAAAATGAATAGAAAGGTGTTAATGCATAATTTTAATAAGGCCAATGTTACCTAAAGCTATAAATAAGTAATTTGGTTATTCGAATCTTGTAAAGTGAATACGTTTTACAATTGTATTTCAAAAGGTAATATTGGTACTCAAAAATGTAGTTTAAATAAGATTCTAAACATTGTACATCATAAATAAATGTTTGAATGAGTTTCAATTTAAAAGTATTATTCTTTTCCTTCTAAGCATTGAAAAAAATTTAGTGCCCTACGGCCACTAAAGAGAAAGTTCTGGCCTTGCACTGCACACCGTCTTGTGCTACACACACTTGAAACTCAGTGCTAGAGATAGCTTTGACATCTTCTTCATGGAGCAACCGATCAGCTCCCTGAAATGTAGCACCTTGATCACTGTGCATGCTTGTAGGAATTCCATGACGAGAAGCAAACCGTTGTATAGAGCAATAAAGGTAAAGGAAGAATAGTCTGAAACTATTTCTAAGTAGATAGCTTTAGTCGAAAGACATGAAAACTGCGATGTAACACTGTTGAGATCGATTGCCTATGCCGCCCGCCATTCGAACTAGTAGACCTGCGTAATCGATACGACAATGAGTGAATGCCCGTGGTGACTGAGTCACTCTTGATTCAGGTCAATTAGCCATTAATCTACATACTGATTTAGCATGAATTTTCGCGCAGGTAACACACCTTAAGATAACATATTTGATTTAAGCATAAAGGTTTCTAAGCTATATGGACTGTGTTGCGTATGCGACGGTTTTAAACTCTGAAGTTTCTAAAAAAAAAAGGCATTAAATAATGATAATATTAAATGATAATGTATATTTGTGTCGCAAAGAGAGTAAGACCCCAGGGGCTAGGCGTCGCTCTCTTAATTGTCACTTACGTAATTGAAGTTCAAAAAACGCTTACGGCTATCAAGTTAATGAAAAACAGCATGAACAGGAAAAAGCCTTTTGGCAAAAAACTTGGTTTATTTGAGTGAAAGAAATTACATTTTGATTATAAATAATAATAGTGATAAACTTTAATAGTATGTGATAAAAGAGAATAAGTAAAATGATGCGTAAGTTATTTAAGAATACCTCTTGGTTGGGTTGTAGATCAAACTCTTTCCCAAGGGGGAAGGTCGATCAAGGCGAGCCGTTGCTCTAAAATTAGGGATTGCTGGCCAGGCAGATCCGCGTTTTCGTTGTCACGAAAATGTTGCGTCTAGGAATAAACGTTTTTGAGGCGCCGTGGGCAACCAAAAATTGCAAAATGTAAAGGTTACAGCAATCAAGCTTTTTTTTGTGGGTTAGGAAAGACAGGTAAGTCGGCTTGAACGTCTGAAAAAAAAAAAAAAAGAACGAGAGGGTACACACAAATTTTTAACTAACCTTTTTTCACAGTCTGAATGTAGCTTATAACAAAAAATCAACGCGTCTGACAGACTCAACTGTTTCTACTGATCCACAAAACAGTTTCCTTATCAAGAAATAGATAAAGTAATGCAAGTTTACTTTAATGTGGTACAACTATTATTTTTTAACCCTTGACGCCTAGAAGCAAACATTTGACTTTGCAAGACTAATACAAGAGAGTTTTTGCTTGATTTTATTCATTTGATGATAAGTGATCATTTGAAACTAGATTGCTGGTATAAAACTTCCGTTTTTGAGCTTTAATTTTCAACTGATTTTTGTAACGTACTTAGTATGCTGTGACTCTCGCAGCCTTGATTCATGATGAAAATTATTGAGCTACTATATACAATGAAGAGTTAGACTCATCAACTATGTGAGACATGATTTTTGCTTTAGTGGAAGCTTCTGATATAGGATCTGGAGACCGGTTTGGCAAAGCTGCAGGTAAATGCTCTAGCCAACTAGGTTCATTCCACCATAGAGTATTATTGACAAGATTGTGAAGAGTGCATCCCCAAGATGCTAACTCTGCAGGACTCAATAGAGTTAAAACATGTCACCAATGATAGTTTGAAAGCAACTCGTAACTCTCAGCTACGTGGTTTGATACAAATAATTTTCATGTGCTAACATGTTTGCTGAGCCATGCTAGGGTAATACTAGAATATGTCTAACATTAAATAGTAAGTTCTGAAAATGCTCGCACTTCATGCAAGGCATTATACAGTTAGGTTTACAGCTAGGCTGCTTAAAGTTCTAACCGATTAACTGACACCTGCTTTGGTAAGGCTACTCTAGTTTTGCTTATGAGAAGTGACACTTTAAGTTGACCGGACTCATCAACAGTTTGAAGATATATAGCTACTCCATAGGCCTCGTTAGATGCGTTAGAAAACCCATAGAGTTCACTTGACTGATTATTCATATGAGACCCATTCCAACGAAAAATTTTAATCTGAGAAAGAGAAGTCAGTGATTGGAAATGAGCAACTTATTCAGATACTGAAGAAGTTAGAATTTCATCCCATTGTGTTTTCATTAGCCATAACTTTGCATCATTATTTCACCCTTGATGATAATTGGTGACATCTAGTTGGGAGGATTTAAAAGCTGTGATAAGAATGACAGGGCTTGTCTTTTTGAGAACGTACGAGGTAGGTCTAATTTTACTGAAAACGTGAATGTATCAGTGGAAGAATGCCACTGAAGCTCCAGAACCTTTACGCCACTTTGCTCATGTGAAAGAGAGTGCCAAGCTTGTCCATGATTAGCCGGGTCAATACAAGTCACCAAATTTTTATCATTGCTAGCCCCTTTACGCAACTCAAGTTGAACTTCAGTCAACAATGCTATGACTTGATTTCGATTTTCAATGACACTTGCATGATCATATGCCCCAAATGGTAAATCATCAACAAACGTATCTTGACTTAAGACAATAGTAGCAAGTAGGAATCGATGGCCTGCATCTATAACTAACTGTTGAATTACTCGAAACGCAAGATACGGGGCTGAACGAGTTCCATATGTTACAGTATTCAACTCGTAATCAATTGTAGGACACTTGGGAGGTGGATGCCATAGGATGTGCTGAAAGTCCCTTTCACGAGTATGCACCAGAATTTGACGATACATTTTTGTTATATCTGCTACTAACACTAATGGGTATGAGTGCCATTAAAACAAGATAATAAAGAGCTTAGATTGAAGTTTTAAATCCGTTAACATACAATCATTTATAGAGACATCATTTGAGGTCTTACATGAAGCATTGAAAACTGCCTTTGGCTTAGAGTTTTGACTTTGATGGTGAGGGAGGTATAAAACTGGATTATTACTTAATTGACGACTTTCTATGGGAGTCGTGTGACCTAACGACTGATATTCTTGCATAAATCCAGAGTATGGAGCTTGATGATCTGGATTACGAGTGAGACGTCTTCCTACTTTTTTAAGTAGGTTTTTAGCGATGTGTCTTGATTGCCCAACTTCTGGCATGTCACAGGATTTGAACGGAATACGAACTACGTATGGTCCATCTTGAGTTCGTGAATGAATTTCTAGAAAGTCCTTTTTACACTGTACATCTGTAGGAGAATTTATATATTTTAAATAAATGTTGTCTACATTCCGGAATCGTTGAATTGAATAATCTACACTATCTACTGTTACAAAGTGGTGCACGGGAACCACTGGATCTTGCACTTGATTCGCATTATAACAGGGATCCAACACAACCCACCAGAACATTGTTTGCTGTGCAACAGGTTCATATGGTTTTCTTTTTGTAACTTGACCGAGAAGATTGTATCCGTATAAATCAGCTTCAATTAACACTTAAGTTTCATCATCACATAAAAAATCATCTGCAAGTGTTAGTCCTTTCAGATGCTTCCATCTATTTACTGAATTAATTACTTGGGGTTGATACGAGGTAATTTTAGGTAGCACCAATGTTTGAGTGTGACACACCCGCTGGTCAGCCTGATTAAACAACTGAATTTCCAGAGTATTAGAAGTGCTACCGGCAAGCGATCTACGCAATCCTGTCATTGATGCTGATACTTTCATGAAGGAGGACCATAGTGCATTGGTTACTTTGCCAGATACAAAGGACCATGTAAAGTCTTGATCTAGTAAAGCACGGACTTTTATTTCACAATTTTTTTGGATGCAATGTGTACAGTTGCGGTATCTAAAATAATACTAATCGACCTAAAAGGTTGTACCGTGATACAAGTTTGCATAGAAGTTTCAACTGAATGCATTTGACCCCTGGTGTGGACTTTGAATTATTAGAACTATTCACACTTAATGAATCTCTGTGCAGCATGGTATGATGCTTTTGTTGGTACTGCTGACAACTTTCCCAGCTCGAATAAGATTTTGACTTGTACCCTTGTGTTAGACAGTTAATACAAATGATGTGAACGTACATTATTGTAACGCTCAGTCACAGTAATATCCTTGAATGAAGAAGAAATAAAAATTTTATGATTATCTTTGCAAACGGGATACGACTCTGGTTGTGTAACAACATATGTGGTAACTTCCAATTTCTTAGACCGTAGATCATTAAAACGTGACTGTGGCTGATTACTCACATGCTTGACATTTGATTGATCAGATCGTTTCAGAGACTCAGTCGAATAAAGAGTTTCCAAAACTCATATTCGTTTCAATAAAAGCTGATTAAACTGTTCATATGCAGCTACGTTGGTTTGAGCAGCAATGGTAACCTTCCAATCCCGCTGAGTCTGCTGATTGATTTTCCCCGTTAAAACATGAATAAGAATAGCCCTATAATGTTCCGTGGGACATCCGAGATTTTTTAACGCAACAAGATTGTTACAATATTTGTTAAGTTTAATAAGCAAAAGGCTAATTCGTGTTATCGGTTCGAGTTTAGTAATTACGGATAAATAAGCAGATATTGTGCTTCGCTTGTTTTCATACTGATTTTCTAATAATGTCCATGCAGTGATGAAATTGCCGTGTGCGAGTTGCACATTGCATA